GGACATGGGCAGGATCTCACTGGTCTCTGGCTTCCATACAGAATCCTTGAAGCAGCTGCTTAAGGCTAGAAATGAGAATGACACCAAAGCCTTTTACTGACTCATCATTGTCACGATGAACCACCCCTGGTGATAGAGGCGATGAACATGTGAATGTTCAGTAGTGAATTCCCATCACCTCGTTCATAGCCACAAAGTTTATCTGACAGGCAGGGCTCACACGTACTTGTAGAATAGGCTCAAGGGGAGGGAGAAAATCAAATGCCAGAAAGCAGAGGCCAGTAAGACACTAAAGCTGTTTGCTGAATTCATCTTTTGAGGCTACTTGAAGAGCAAGAAGCTGAGAATGTAACTTCAAAACTGCAGCATAGCCCAGATCCGGTGTGCCACAGGTTGTGACAAGACAGCTCAACTTCTTCTGTGCCTGGCTTCTACTTGGGGTAGAAATTGCCTACAGTGACGAGGCAGAGGGGTGGCTGGAGAAAAGCAGCACCCAGGAGAAGCTGGGCACCAGCAGTCCAGGCTCGCGGCTGATAGCACCTTCATTACGCCGACCCAGCTCCAACACCCTCAGCCCAGCCCCAGCTCTGCTCTGTCCTGTGCTCTGACAACCCACTCAGTTAAATATTTTCAGGAAGACAAAGTGAGGATCATGTTAAAGCAAAACAGTTCATCAAGGAAACAACTAAGTTAATCAGAATAGTATCACATCCTTGAAAAATAATAATGGCAGAATTAGAACTGATTAAACTTTGTATTTTAAACCATTTGTTCCTACCTTGTAACAACAATTGATTTCCAGCTCTTGCTGTCAGCACCTTCAAGCTGTGGACCCCTACTTTCTGCCAGCTGTAATCTCTTCCCTGTCTCTTCTAGTTGAACTGTCATCTTCTCATTTAATATCTCTAAATTGTTCTTAGCTATCCGCAATTTCTCTGCAGCTTCAGTTTCCTATCATTAAAAGATAATTAGTGTATTAGGACAAAACACACTACTGTTCTCATGGATGTGATATATTCAAAATTATCACTACAAACTAGAAAAAAATAAAGTGGAGTTCTAATGCTGATTAAAGTTCCAATAAAAATCCAATGTTTCTTCTACTCTAAAACAGCAATGATCATAATATTTAGAACAGATCATGTAAATGAGATTATAAAAATATATTTACAAGTATTTACTCTAGTGGTTACTTTAAATTTATCAGCTTTGTCCGTAATAGTTACAGAAAATGAGATAGTTATGTCTTTAGATTTTTAAAAGATTGTTTTAATACCTGAGAAACATAACTAGAAGTCTAAAGTATGGGTAAGTACCAAAGATTATTTCCACTATTAAACATCCACATTCAAAGCACAGTATCACACTGGCCTCAAAGTATATTCAGATACTGTTATAAATAGTTTAAAAATATTAATTTCAACTTATTCCCTGGACCTATTTGTCTGGGGCAAGGAATGTATTTTGACACAGTAAAGACTTTAAAATCGTTTAAAGAAAACAGTTTTATATATTCTTTATTGTACATCAGGCATTATTCTAGGTCATGTACACAAATATTATCTCATTTAAGCCCTTCAGTAGCTCTGGGAAACAGGTATACTTAATAGTCCCAGTTATACAGATGAGGAAATTGAGAGATGGAGAGGGAATAGAAGCTTGCCCTAGTTCCCTGGGCTAAGAAGGGATAGAGTCAGCATTTGAATCCTGGCTATGTAGCTTCTTCATTATACTACCTATCAATCTATTAATTTTTATTTTCAGTGTTCCTCATAATGAAAGGATGGTGGGCATAAAAACACAATTCCTAAATCTCTTAATACCGACTCTGAATAGACTAGCTTTTTCATCCAGTTTTCCCAAAGTGTACCAGTTTATTAACATAAAAATAATTATAGTCAATAGTGAAAGTCATACTTTTTTAAGTTCTTTACGAAGCCTTTCATTTTCAGCAACAATTTTCTCTGTGCCTTTGGTCTTGGATTCATACTGCATGCTCAGCTGACGTCCAAGATGAACTTTCAGTTTTTCTAATTCAGCCTAGTAATTAAAAAAAAACTCTACCTTATCAAAACAAGGAAATAAACAATGATGTTGTACACTCATAAAACTTAATTTAACATAGTTTTAGAGACCACACTTGACATAATTAGAATTAAATTCTTCCGTTTAATACTGGTCAGATGACTAGAGCAGAGGTTCCCAATCCTGGCTTAGCGTGAGTGGGTGACTTAAAAAAAAACAAAACAAAACCACAATACCTATTATAGGACCAACCCTGAAATAATCCAATCAATCTCAAAACTGGGGGCTCAGGAAGCTATATTTTTGAATATAGACACAGTTAATTACTTTTTGCTGCCAGAGTGAGAACCACTGGTCGGAAATAAGAAGACCAAGTGGTGATACTCTAACTACTCAGCCCTTGTCTCCAGTATTTTTTTTTTCTGTATGTATAAAATATCCTCTAAAGCCATTTTATATAGTATATTTAAAACTGTCCTTAAAAGTTAATAAAAATTATATTAGTAAAACATTCTGTACAGATGATCACATTAAAAATATTACCTTCAACTTTTCATTTTCCAGCTCAATATTAGCCATTTTTTCACTGGTCAGTATTCCTGATGCTTTTTTCAACTGTTCATTTTCCCTTTGGACTTTTTCGACTACTTTTTTCATTAAACCAATGGTTTTTTCTAGTTCTGGGATTGTCTTTCCACTTCTACCAGACTAGAAAGAAATGTGTCAAGTTTTTATTTAATGAAATATTTTAGAAAGTATAATATAAAGTGCCAAGAACATGAGATTTATTATTAAAATCATTGTTGATTCCTGTATTTGAAGCCAAAGCTTGTATCACTTCAACTTATCATTAAAATAACACTATGAAAGAGGAATTATAATCCTCACTTTATATACAAGCAAATCAAAACTCAGAGAATTTGATATTCCTGAAGTCATGCAGCTAATAAGTAGCAGCTCAAACCCTGGTATACTGCAAAGACCATCAGCATATTAGTATTATAACTAAGAAGTCACCATGGTTATCATAAAAAATAGTTATCAAATGTTAGAATCAGACCAAGGAGCAGTTAGAAGTTACCTCAATGAACAGAAGGAAGAGTCCTGGAAGTTACAAGTTTTCAAGGTGTGGAGGGATATGCAATGACAAGAGATGGTATAGAGTCCAAGTGGAATAAAAAGCATGTACGATGTGATAGATGATAACACACTTAACTTGAAACAAAGAGAAAGCTTAATGATATTTTACATCGTAGATGCAGCAGAATAAAAACTGATGCTAGAGGCACTAGTAAGAGGACTATCAATACTGTTATGACATATCCAAACTTTTTTTTCCTACTTCCAGCTTATCACTTCTGAAACCAAAACAAACATATGGCATACGTTCATACTTACCCCTCTAACGTGGCCAAGTTTCCGCTCTACTTCTGCTTTCTCTTTCTTAAGAAAATCACACATTTCCTTCAAGTCTTTTACTTGACTCTGAAAGATTAAAGAAAACATGTAACAATTTAAAATAGCCACTGAAAAGGAAAGGCAAACAATTCATCGAACCATCAGTCTTTTCAACTAAAGACTAAGTCTAATTCAACTGTATAGCTGAATTAAACAAGTGAGTCTTCACACCTATGAAGAGGATTTTGAATTAAAATAGGACATACTGAATTAAAGTGTATTAATACAGAAGCATTTTGTATGTGAATTTAGAGAAATATTTCCCGTATTATTGCCTCAGTATACAATATAAATTTGAGTTTAGAACTCCTGATTTTGACTGTCCCATAAATTACCTCTGTAGAACCATACCATACTGTACAGAGAAAGACAACTAATCTTCCAACACTGGTTCTAATACTGTAAAAATCAGAATGAGAAGCAACATAGCTCATATGCCATTACTTATCAGTGGAATTAACAGACTGCTTATATTCTAGGTTAAAAAAAGAACAGAAAAAATTAGCCAGGCAAGAGAAAAAGAGTCCCATAAATAGGATAAGACTTAGAAAACCAAAAAGAAGCATTATAAACATCAAAATAAAGTAAAATTTCTAACAGAGATAATTATTCTAATATATATTTATTTTAATTTAAAGACTTTATTTTTTTAGAGCTATCCTAATTATTTTAAAGTGTGACAACTGCTAATTAATTACACCAACCTCCAACCTTGCCACAGGGCATTTGAGCTTGTCATTTCTGTCGTCTAGAACTCTTTTTCTGGTATTCGTATGGCCCACTTCTTTACCTATCCCCTAGCTCTCTGCTAAAATTTCATTTTATTAAGGAAGCCTCCCCTTACTACCCAATTTGAACTAGTGATTCCATATACAGTTGACCCTTGAACAATGTGGGGGTGTAACTTATACTCTCCATATCTGCAATTCCTCGGTATCCATGGGTTCAAACAAACATGGGTTACGCAGTACAGCAGTATTTACCATCGAAAAAGTACGTAAGTGGACCCTCACAGTTCAAGGTTAGCTGTACCCCTCTCCAGCACACATTCACACATCTTTCACCCCAAACATGCTTTTTCTTCTTAGCACTTAACATCAGCCGACATACTATATATTGACGTGTTTACCTATTAGTAGCTTTCCCCACTGGAATGTAAGCTCTATGAGTGCGAGAATTTTTTTAGCTGCTGTTTTCCAGTACCTAGAATACCTGACCTAGAATGTAGAGAGTATAATACTATCATGATATTCTATGAATATGAGTTTCTGACTTCTTCATGAGCTAATACGGTAAACGTAACAATTAAGTAGAGAGAAAAAAGGTTTTCAGGCATTAGATTTCCTAACTATAACAAAGAATATTAAATTTACCTTTAATCTTGGCAAATCTTTATTTGCTTGTTCAAGTTGAAATTTTAGTTCAATATTTTCAGATGACAACTTCAAGTTTTCCTTCTGGAGCTCCTGTTCTCTTTGATAATGATCATCTGATTCTACTTCTGAAGTCTTCAGGAAAATGAAGTTAGGAATATTTTTAAGGTTTAACAAATAAAAGCTGTGTAAGACACACTGGGTAAGAAAACACCATGCTAAAAGGGAACATTTTTCCTCAAAGAAATGAGAAAATTGGAGAGCTCTAAAGAAAATAACCACAAACAAACTCACAGGAGAAAAGGGTAGTTTTGTTTGGATTAATACAGAAAGTCACGTATGATTTAATATTGTCCACACATATAAAGCCTCCATATATACTCTCATAGTGACTAATCTGTGGTAGTTTTCTAGTCCAAAAATAAAATGAGACTGTTATCTACCTGTGATAGATTGTATTAACACCCTGCCCCCCACCCAACCCCCCAAATTCATATGTTGAAAATCTAACCCCCAGTACTTCAGAATGATCTTATTTGGAGATAGATAGGGTCTTTACAGAGATATCAGGTTAAAATCAGCTCATTAGAATGTGCCTTAATCAAACAATGTTTGATGTTCTTGTACCAAAGGGAAATTTGGACACACAGACATACACAGAACGGAGACAATGTGAAGAGACAGGGAGAAGCTAGTCATCCACAAGGCAAGGAGAGAGGCCTGGAACAGATCCTTCCCTCACAGCCTAAAGAGGAATACCACCCTGCTGATTTGGGATTTCTGGCTTCCAGAACTGAGCATAAATTTCTGTTGTTTAAGCCATCAACTCTGTGGTGTTTTGTTATGGTGAGCCTAGCAAATGAAGACACAAGCCTACAAAAAAGTGCCTCAGTTCCTTCCTCCTGTAGAAAGCTTTTCCTTTCTCCTTGAGCTAAAGTAATCACTCCTTCCTCTGAAATCCAGTAACACTTTGCATTTCTCTCGGCATGAATCCACCTTGGGTTATTATTTATGTTCATTTTTTATTTCTCACTCTAAACTATAGATTATTTGAAAGAGAAACCTGTGCTTGATTCCCTTTTTCCATAAAGTGGATAGAATACCACTTACCTCAAAAGACTGTTAATGAACATCATATGAAATAATTTCGTGAAAGCACTCAGAACAGCTGTTTTTTTTCCCACCATCCCCTTCTCTCTCTACTGGCTTGATGAACTATCAATAACTCCACAGACGCTATTATGATTGTTATCATATTAATATATTACATATTATAGATTATTATTAAAGTACAATATTATATATATTTATTACACATGGCTCAATAACATCTTTTCAATTAGCAGTAGGTTAAATATTTTACATTCTGATATATTCACCCTTAGGTTAAAAAAAACAAAAACAAAAACGTTTTCTTAGGTAAAATGCAGTAAAAGTTAAAAAATGAGAAAATAGGATACAGAAAAGCAAAGAAATTCTAGGCTAAGCTTTGATTCTGACCTGAGGGCATGTAGCACAACACTGGCAGAAACACTGCATGTGCCCACCTTATTTCCATTTGTTGGAGGGTGTGTGTGTGCATGTGAACATACATACACAGTGGCAAGAAAAATAACACAGATAAATCTGATGACGTCAGTAGGAATATGCCCCTACTTATTTTCTGTCAGATAACCCAAGCATACATTCTGGTTTTGCTACTGTTAGGTTAACACTAGGCAAATTACACCACCTGCAGGGTTCTTGCGTCTTACAGATGAAGGCACTAGCTAGGGTAATTCTTAATGTCTCTTCAGACATGGAAATCTGTAGTTCTCTGTCCCTGAGCTCTTCTGCCTTTCTTACTTCTCTCTTCAGCCTATGATAGCTACTTAACAAATCAGTTCCCCTGATTGACAGATATAAAAGAGATTAAATTCCGCTCACAGAGGAGAATAATTCTATCTGGTGATCTCACATGAGGATTTTTTCCAACAGTCCTCCTCACTAAAATATGGATGCAATTATTATGTAAGTGAATGTGGATCATTTTTTTTCCCTTCCAACTCTCAGAAAACAAAACTAAAGGTATCAGTTGAGATTGTCCAAATTTTTGGAGAATAAATTCTCATGAAACTCCTCTATGAAAATAAAATAAATGGAATTCTTATATAATGAATTTTTTGAGACTTCCAAATTGTTTTATGGAAGAATCTTGTTAAAAGATATATACTGCTAGAAATCAAAATCTTAGCGGGTGGGAGATAAAGATAATACACAGTGGACGTCTCTAATTCTCAATTACTTTTCAAGTGAAGAAGAGAAGCATTATGAACCTGGATAAGAAAATGGAAGAAGAATTAAGTCACTTTCATCCATTTTCTCTTAATTTAAGTGTCTGATTTAATGAGGACTTAGGTGACTGGAATATCTGAGGTGGAAAGGAAGGAATAAATGAATGAATGCTATTTGATTTCAATTGGGAACAAACTTATTTTGGACTGCAATGGAAACTGACCAAAAGTAGTGTGTATATAAAAAGTTCATGAACTGTAAAATTAAACCTGCATTTAAGTCTTGGTTCTGCATCTTCTTGATCACTAGAGATGTTTTTTTCCCATTGTGGTTTATTACAGGATATTAAATATAGTTCCCAGCGCTATACAGTAAGTAGGACCTTGCTGTTTATCTATTCTATATATAGTGGTGTGCATCTGCTAATCCCAAATTCCTAATTTATCTCTCCCCCACCCACTTTTCCCCTTCGCTAACTGTAAGTTTGTTTTCTATGTCTGTAAGTCTGTTTCTGTTTCACAGAGATGTTACTTATTCTCCAAGCTTTCTACATAAGATAGGAATAATGCTCTGCAAAGTATTGTGAATACCGATGGTAAAACAGTGAGTACTAACATGAACTAGGAAATGCACAACCACTAATTTTTTGTAGGAACTAGTCATATGTTAGGGTTTAAAGAGAAGTTTATTAAAAACTAGTATTTTTTACAAATCCTACACAATTTGTTTCTATTTGCATCATATACATATACTACTTGCTATAAGAGAACTCAACTAACAGAGAAATAGCAGACTGCCACAGACTCAAACCTGGGACACTTCGTTTCTCGACTGGGCTGGCGCATCAGTTTCAGAGTTTGCCTGCGCATCCTCCTCAGCGCACTGAGTCACCGCAGCAGCCCCTGCGGCACAGCTACTGTCCTCCCCGGCAGATTCTTCCGGATCCATGTGATGGCTGTGACCCACATCTTCAGCTACGTGTCCCTTTCCTTTCTCATTCTTGCCTAGCTCATTCTCTTCCTTGTTTTTATAACCCTGTTCATTATTTTCACAAGAGTCCTGATTAATATTCTCAATTTCAGGATCTGGTTCCTTTTCAACATTGGAGTTAAAATCTGCCAAGGTACCATCTGTTGACCTAAATGGACTTGATTTATTGTTTGGCCGTGACTCAGACTTATTTAGCTCAGCAGGATCTACAATAACTTCTGCTTTGTGTTTTTCTTCATTACCATAATACTGTACAGTATTTCTAGGTAGCTGATGACATAACTTGTCACTGACATCTATTCCCTTCCCATCTTTAATTCTGAGTACTGTTATGGGTTTCTTTTTGTTCCTGTGTAAAGCATTCTTTTTGTGAAGAATATTGTGCCTGTTTTTATTAACACTGGTAGCAAGAGTAGAAAGCATAGCTGTGTCACATGACAGATTCTGCTTGAAGCAGAAGAAAGAGAAGAAACAGGAAAAGAAAAGGAAAAAAATAATAAAAATATACACATGAGTGTTTTAAAATAAGATACAACAAATATTTCTGTTAATGAAATATTTATAAAGAAAAATTAGAAACATATCACACATTTGAATGGAAATAATGCTATAACATATTTTCCTGCTTTATCTAACTGTATGTTCTTACCACAGCAAAACTCATAACTACATTTAAAATCTCCAAAAATCATTTGTAATGAAGTTTTATGCAAAGCGTAAGAATCTTAAGTTTACTGTTACAAAAAAAGCATCAGAGAAGTTAATATACATCACTACCTAGTAAAAATAAAAGTTGAATTTCTTGCATTAATATTAGTGGGAGGGATCTACCACTTTAAGCCAGATAAAGGTACAAGTTGACTTTACTTTTAAACTTCAGAATGAAAAAAGAATAGATGTACACTTACTGAAGGCTTAGAATATGCATCCCTTGAAAACTGTTTTTCTAAAGCATGAAGTTTTTCTTGGAGGTATTTATTTCGTAAACGTAAATCTTCTATAACAGCATCTCGAGGAAGAGCTTGATGAGTCCTACGACAAACAACCACAGACTCTTTACTATTTAAACTTTCAACTTTCCACTATTTTACTACATTAAAATACGGGGGAAATGTATATTTATTTATACTGCATTTATTTTAAATTCTACAAAACTTGAAAACTTTATAAAAATTAAATTAGGATATGGCTATATTATAAAATGATCCTTTACAGAGGATTCACTGCAGGGGTCCTTTAAACTACAAGTTAAAAGTGTATTTTGATTTTAAGAAATACATTAACATTTGTAAAGAACATTTATCTATTTTGAGGACTGTGTAATATAACTGAATAAAAAAAACTTACTATTTTTAAAACATATAACATCCATGTGCTTCTCAAGAAGTTCAAAGATTTTAAAAGGCTCTTACTGGTGCCAGACAAAAATCTACTAGTTCAATCCACACTTAATCTGCATGATCTGCAAGGCTCTCCACTATCTGGCACAACCACATCTGTTCAACGTGTTTGTCTAGGAGCCTCCCTTTATTTAGGCAAATAAATCCACTCTTACCCACACGTGAAAGTTACACTCCTGTCTCTATGTCTCTGCTAGGCTTCTGTTTTCTTGGAATGTCCTTCCTCCCTTTAATATCTAGAACTAGATCATAAAATTCAGAAATTCCCACTTGAACTGAGAGAGAAGATAAGTTCAATCTTTTATCAAGTCTTCTCCAATTACTTCAGCCTACACAGATCTGCATTATTAGGGGGAAAAAAAGAGCCATTCACCATCTAAAAGTATTAGAAGTTTTTAAAATTAAAATATTTTGATCCTGGTGAAAACTGCAAAGGAGACTAAAAGGGTTTAGTTTTATTCTGAACATATGTTTCAACTAAGAAAAATAAGGAGGCACAAAGCAACTGCTAGGACCAGACAGTAGCTATAAGAACATAAAAAAGAAGAATTCTTCAAGCACTATTTTCTTCTCTATCAAGGAAAATTCTGAAGGATTTATGAAACAATGACTTACAAGTAAAGGAGATGGAATGTAGGCTAGAAGCTCATGAGTGTTCCTTCAAAAGAATTCAATTTCATAGGTTCACATTACATTAATATGGACACAATTATAGACATTAATAAAGACCAACTGTAATTTTTGAAGAAAGGAAAAAAGTATGATAAATTTAGGAAGAGTAAGTGTCTTCATAGCCAAATGTTACAGGTAGGTACCAGACTTTGACAATGATCATTAACATGATTCCAGACTGTTTGTAAGCACTTAGGAAAGGAAGTAAATTATGTAAAATTAATCTAAATTCACCTTGAAAGGAATTAAGTGAAACAGAAAATTATAAATACTTTCAATTGTTGAATTGTTGTTTGGACACGATTTTATTTTGCTTTGCATGACTATGACTACATCAGAAGATAAAGCTTGGAAAGAGACAGCAAAACAACAAAAAATTTCAAAGGCTCTATTAAAACAATGACATGGGTGGCAGGGGTTCTGGTTCTAAGTAGAGTGGAGTAAACACATCCACTCTCGTCTCTCCCAAATTCATGGAGCAGCTACTTGAGAACTTTGAAAAATTAGTATTTTACATATTCAGACAGAATACCAGAATTTGAAATATGAGCAAACAGGTGGTCAATTTACCTTTCCTTTTCTTCTAGTATTTTGGCCTGAACACAACACAGTTTGAAACCTGATGATGAGTGTCAGCACGGAGGGAGAGAGCTCTAGGAAGGCTAAAAGTTCTAGTTCTAGCTCCAGCAAGGAGAAAGGGTACTTACAAGACTCACAGACAGTGCAAAACTCCCTTTTTATTTTTCTCTCCTACCCATTCTCTCAGGTCCTAATCCTCAGGCAATCCCATGGCAGTGGTGGCAGAGGCTGCATTGGGAACGTGCTAGCCAAAATTTTTAGGGAGAGGAATCCTCTTCAATTGGTAGAACTGTGACTAGTGAGAGGAGAGGGCAAAGTAGTGCCGCACCCCCCTTGTCCCCTCTCTGCCCTCCTATTGCTGGCTTAGCTGCAGACAGGAGCACAATCACTGAAGAACAGGCAACTAAAGCCCCAGATGTTGTTGAAGATACACCAAGAGGGGGAGCCCACGGGTAACGGAAAGTATCAGGGAGATCACAGAAAGAAAGAAGCACAAGCAGGGAACCTTACAAAGTTGTATACAAACTTCTGGACTCCCCACTTAATCATGCATGTATGGATCTTATCCTAATGAGATTATTAAAGACTCTGAGAACTGAACTGAAAGAAGACAGCCCATATACCAGGAGGTACAGAGGCAGAACAGAGCCAAAGAGCACTGCAAAAGCTTTGAAAACAGAAAGGATATTAGAACCATACCCCACAGACAGAAAGTTAGAACATGGGGCCTGAACCTAACCAGACCTGCTAAAACAAAAATATCTATATTTTCCATACAATTTAACCAAGACCCAGAGTCACAGCATAATATTCCAAAGTTCAAGAATATAATCTATATTATGTGACATTCAAAGAACCAGGAGTATCCTGAATCACAAGGGAGAAGACAATCAACAGAACCCGCATGTTAAATTAACACACTTATTATAGCAGTTACTATGGGTTGACCAGTTTTCCTTCATGGTAATGGCTAGCACATGTCATGTAATAGCTTACCTCATATACGATATGTCATTTTCTAAGTCAAGATTTTTCTTTCTTAATTCTTCTAACTCTTTTTCTGACTCCAATGCTCGCACTCCCATAACTTGATCTACAGTCATGCCAGTTGTTTTTAGTTTCTTCTGCAAAGTAAGTTTCTCTTTATCAGCTCTGTGGGATTTAATACAGAATCATGAAAATATGCCATTCATTGTTTGGCTTACTCAATTTATTAAACTGCAGCTTCCTTACTATAAGCCCAATATACAAAAGTTGGATCATTCTGTGTTTGTTATGAGCTAACTTATTTCAAAATTATAGGAAACTCCATTTATAAATTGTTAAAAATGTATTTAACATATTTTAAAGAAAATAAAAAGAGAACTATAGACAATAAATGATAATTAAAACTAGAAAATCTTTCATATTATCAAGTTCACAAAAACTATATAACTTCCAGGTCAATTAAGACTTTACACATAATTAACTTGGTTTATATTAAATTTAAACTCACTTGGCAAAAAGATCTTTCAAAGTATTCAACTGCTTTGTTAGAATATAGACTTCCCCCTCTTTCTCTTTTAACTTGTTTCGAAGTCCCTCTATTTTGGTTTGCCATTTTTTACCTTCTTCCCATCTAATTAATTCTTCTCTGGCACTCTGTCAGTAATAACAAAGGAAGAAGAAAAAACAAACAAACAAAGCATAAATACAAAACAGAAACAGACTCATAGACATAGAATACAAACTTGTGGTTGCCAAGGGGGTTGGGGGTGGGAAGGGATAGACTGGGATTTCAAAATTGTAGAATAGATAAACAAGATTATACTGTATAGCACAGGGAAATATATACAAGATCTTATGGTAGCTCACAGAGAAAAAAATGTGACAATGAATATATATATGGTCATGTGTAACTGAAAAATTGTGCTCTACACTGGAATTTGACACAACATTGTAAAATGATTATAAATCAATAAAAATGTTAAAAAGTAACAAAGGAAGAAGAAAATTACCAATATTGTTTTTAATTTTAGATTTATCAATTACAATTTACTAGAACAATGGTAAACCAACACTCCATAAAGAATATGTAACTAGGTTCATTTTGCTATGTCACTTCTAGGATCTTTAGGCATGCTAAGCTGTAAGCAAAAATGCCCTTCAGTTTAAGATTCTGTATTATGTAACTTGACAGATAAAATTTTGAGGAACAGTTTGGACTAATGCCAACACCCTTAAGGAGTCTAATACAAATGGATCATGACTAAAGTAAATTTCTAACAAAGAATGCATATGCAGAAATGACCAACCCAATTTTGTCACCCAATAGCAATCTCCTAGGATCACAACCCCTTCAAATCTTCGATGCACATTATTTCTCTCATTCAACAGATATTTATTTAGTGCTAATCTTGTGCCAGGTACTACTCTAAGCACTAGGAATAGAAACAATGAATAAATCAGACAAAAAAAAACCCTTATCTTCAAGGATATTACAGACTAGTTTATGTTGGTTGGTGGGTGGATTAGGGGAAGGGAGCAAAATATAGACAAAAAACAAGAAAAGATTTTTTGCAGTATGTTAGCTCGTGATAAGTGCAAAAAAGAAAAAAGGAAGGGAATTAAGACATTTCAGGGTAGGTGTTGTGGTTTATAACTGAGATAAGGTATCCATGAAAGTCTGTGTAATGCAGAACAGTCCCATGTACTGAATAATTATCACGTGTCCTCTTGAATATTCATATAGTTAAAAATTCTGTTCAAAATCATCTGAGCTAAGAACTTACTTCCTTTCCACCAAGCAATTTTTTAATGGTTTAAATGTACACTGACTTTTCTAGGCATGTAAGAGACTTACAAAAGTCAGACTATAGACTTCATTTTGCTGAGAACTGTAGAAACTGTTTACCATTTTGGAAATCAAATTAGAATTGGCAATGCCTTTGTGACATATGAGTTGCCAACAGACTACATTTGTATTAGTCTGCATCTGTAGCTCAGAATTTACATCAGTGTCCCCTAAAGGGAAACTACATGACTACTTCATTATGTTTTCTATGAAGCATTTACATGTTGAATTATGAAAAATATATTAATATATTTATTATTTTTACAAATTATTTTCCTTTTGTTTCTCCTTCATATTTCACTTAAGCCATTTATAGTGACATTTTTGAAATTATCCATGTAGGTAGTTTATATTAACCATAAATTTCATGTGGAATAGTAAAGGGGACATTATGAAACACTAT